GCCAATTTTTTTTCTTGTTAAACATTGACAAAATGAAAAAAATCACTAAGTCAAAAATTTTTGTTGCAAAGAATACTACGTTTTTTAATGTTTGCATACATTATAAATAGAGATATTTTTAATGACATCTTCTAACTTTGAAATAACATTTAAAAGTTATATACCAACAATTTTTAAATCTTAAATTATGAATTTTCTATTTCAACGTTTTGATTTATTAGAGATACATATGTTTCATATACAACAATTAAACTCATTGGTCGAATGATATAGCGCCTAATAAATGTGTCAAAACTATAAAAATGTTTAAAAAATTCTAAACTGTTTTTAATTTTTGATTTAAATCTTATCGGAGAGAGAGGCAAGGCGCTTACAAATACACTTGTTTCAATCATGTTTGGATATCGTTAAATGAAAATAAAATAATGAAATTTAACGAAATTGAAGTACTGATGCTGTTTTGTTGCTCGCTGTCCGTTTTATCATTGCAAGTTCCAACAGTTGTCGAATAAATGAGTTCCATTTGTTGCGTCAAATTTTTCGAACGTTGACTGGGGAGAGAATATTTTTGAAAATGTTTAAATATCTTTCCATGTTGACCGGGGGCCAACATTTGTAGTGGACGACCTATTTTTTTGCTTATTACTTACTTTTTTTTTTATCAAAAACGGCACTTTTTTGGTTAAAATTATGTGTTTTACTGACTTTAAATACAACTAAATCCGCTACTGATGTTTTATGATTGTTAACTAAGTTTTACTCTATTATCAAGCTAGTCAGAGACATTTATCAACCTTAAGAAGACATACATTAGAGTCAAAACAAGAAAATCAAGGACAATTAAATGTTGAGCCCCGAAGAAATACTTTGGACACTATGAAATTTTATCAAGAGCAAAAACAACGTCAACAGCATCGCAAGGCAACTATACCACTAGTAATTGATTCAGGAACGTCGTCTCATTTGGATTCTCTTGAACAACAGGATTGGTACTGGGGTGATATATCAAGGTTATACAATGTTAATTTACTATTTGGCTTTTAGTAACATTATACTAATTGATAATGTTAAGTTCATTTAATTTATTCTAGCATTTATTCAGTTTAGTGTTTCTTGGAGCTTGTAATATGTAATATATATACATACATACAAAACAACAACAACACACGTTTAGACGACATTTTCCCTGAGATCGGGGGTTGCCGTTTGGCTACCTATGATGAAACCGAAATACCCCTCGACGCCATTCACATCTGTCACATTGTCACTTCTGTCATCATAAGTAATTTATTTGGCTAATTTTTACGCAGGACGCCCGGGGATCCTCAG